CTTCAACGTCATATCCTAAAGCATTAATTAGGTAATTAGAGCTAAGTGAGTTAATTAACAATATCAAATCTTCTAACCCTATACACGTAATTAAACAAGACACTAATCGAGATTAGTTTTAAGGTATTAAGGATTAATTACTACTTAGCAGTTAAAAGTTTGGTTTTATTGTGAAAGAAAGGGTGTGGTGGGTCTCATTTAAATAAATGAGAGAGAGAGAGCTGAAGAGAGAGAGAGAGAGAGAGAGAGAGAGAAACTAGAGGGAGAAAGAGCGGTGACAAGAGAGAGATTGGGAAATGGCAATGTGGTTTGCAGCTGTGGTCAATGAGTGTGAAGGCCCGAACAAAAAGTTGGGAAGCCAATCCTATAAGAAATCAATACGACGCTCTTCTCGGTGCAAACTCTCTTTTAATATGCTAACAACTTTAATTAGCCACCAAATTAAGAATTACTGTGCTTTTAGCACAATGTTGGCTTTATTTTCTTAAATCCTTTAGTACGAACACCTTAATATTTTAGAGAGATGTTGATCTTTGTGTGTAGCAATATTATACATTAATGCTAATCTTTTTTTAATTATTCTAAGTTTAAATTAGAATGAATTGAATTTACATTCTATCATCAAGGCACGGTGGGGACACTAATGGCTCAGCCCCCCATTGGTCGGCGCCAATTTTTTTCTGGCAATTTGGTATCTTTTTATATTTTTGGGCTCAGACTGAGTTGAATTTGATGTCGTTGGGTTTGTCTTTTCAAGATGTTCAATTTGACTATAAGTTTACTAAGATCTAAATTTAGATGATTTTGAAAGTTTCCAATTCAATTTATGATTGAGATTCATGGCCAATCAAGATAAATTTTTGATGATATATCAATAATATTACCTATGATTAATATTTAATTTTAGTTCATATAAGAATTCATTTACTTAATAATACAACAATTTATAAATTAGAACAAGAAATTATCATCAAGTTAAAATTAGTCATGCATCATTATACATAATTTAATAACTTCAACATATTTTGAACACACAACCTTTGTTTTTTAATGCAGACTAAAGAGATTTTTGATTTATTTTATAATCATGAAGAGATACATCAAAAAAGAAAGGCAGGTTTTGGTCAAACGAGCACCCTCCGCTATGAAAATTGTAAGGAATTATTTGCGCAATCATATTTGAAACTGTTGGATAAATAATTGTTTAATTACTTATATTTAAAAAGATATTTTTAATAGTATTAATCATTAAGTAATTGTACAATAATTTTAAAATATGAAGACTCATCTGAAGGAGAAAATGAAGGTGTCGTATAAGAATATGAATTGTATGTGCTCTTGATTGTATGTTTTTTAATTATATAATTAATCTTTTTTTTTTATAACAAGTTTAATAAAAAAAAATTTAAAACCGCCGATGTCGGTCCAAGTCTAGATGAAAAAAGTTAAGGATATTTTTAGTATTCAAATTTTTATGCCCCACATAAAAAAAAATCCTGGCTCCGACCCCCACTGTGCAAGGAAAAATTATTAGGTGCGGAGTTTGCACCGTCCGCACAAATATTGGGTACCTAGTGGTACCCAGCAGTACCGAGTGTCGGTACCTAGCTGGGTATAGTGCTTGTGCGGACGGTTCTCCCCGTCCGCACTCCGCACCTAATAATCTCTCTTGTACAAGACCTAATGTAAATGAAAATTTTTTGAATACTGATTGATATTAAAAGTAATTTTATTCTAAGTGTGTGTAAGTTAGATATTGAGTAGTTATAAAGTTTGGTTTCCTCTATTTGGTTATGATCATACTGTGCAAGACCTAATATAATGGCCCATTCCTCTCAGTTCAAGGAAAGATCTTATTGAACAACTTGAACAATTACAGTCCTGAAGAGCTTTCACTGTAATTATGGTTACCATGACACTGTAGTTTTCTAGGTCAAACATCTCAAAATCATGTGTTAAATATTTAAATATTCTAGATTGGCGCTCATAAGAAGTTCGAAAATTCAATACGTTTAGTTACACCCATCTTAGGGAGCTTCTACTTAATTAGATTATCTTTTTAACCTTTTTTTTTACAAACAATTTAAGTGAATTTATTAGCAAACTCATCTATATACTTGCGTACATAAATCATAGATCTTTGATCAACTATAGGAAATTCATTAAATACCGACGGTTTTTTGGCGGTTTGACCGCCCATACAAAATGACGGTTTGATTAACCCCTGGTAATTATCGGCGGTCTGGTTGCTAGCAAAAGCGGCAGTTTCCCTGTGATCTTCGCGACGGTAATTTTCGGTGGTTTTCCTGTGGTCTTGGTGCCCCGGAAATTTCTGATGATTATAGCCGCCAGAAAATCGTTAAAAAATATCACCGCAAAAAAAAAACTATCGTTTTCAATTTCCTGCTCGATTTTTTTAATTGGGGTAACCACCATAAATTTTTAAAATCGTCGGTAATTGGCCAGCACTGTTGGTATTTAACGATTTTCCTATAGTGATCTCCTTGATGAGAATTGAAGCTCCAAATCATATGACTAGATTAAGTTAAGCCTCTTTTTAAACCTTTCATCAAGATTTTTTATGGGCTCTTCGCTAAAGACTATTATTAATATTGTTATTATTATTGTTCCGGACTAGAATATACACTGCGATGGAGTTAGAAAATTTTCGTCTCAGCGTTGTACGAATATCTTGCACACAAACATAGGAGAAATAATAACACCATGATTTTTACGTGGAAAACTCTGGAAAGGAAAAAGACCACGATGTCACGCCCAGTTGAAATAATTTCACTAGTGTTTGCTTGAGGTACAAGAGGCTAACTCGTCTTTAAATTTTAAAACGATCATATTACAATGCTTCACTTTCAGATTGAAATCCAATTACAAACAAGTTGTGTATTCGACCTGAATTCAGAGTTACTTAGGATTATGACGTCACTTGGAAATTGGGCAGAGTTCCAGTGTCGCTTGGGCGTTAGGCAGAATTCTAGCTTCACTTGGGCAGAATTCAGGCGTCGGGCAAAATTCCGGCGTCACTTGGGCTTCAGGAAGAATTCTGGCGTCACTCGAGCGTCGAGAAGAATTCCGGCAGTGGTCGAGGAGGAGTTTCTTCCCTCCTATCCTTCCCTTATTCTTCTCTTCTTCTTCTTCTTGCTTGGGTCTCCTCTCAAGATAAATGAGGGGCTATTTATATTTTTTTTAGGATGACATGACCCGTAATTAGGGGGAGGATCAAGGGCAAAGGTAGAGTGGTTCGGATGGACGATCGATATTGAATCCCTTGATCATGAACCGTTTGTCAGGTATTTGAAGATCTTAATGATATTTGAATTCGGTGATCTTGGGCTTGCTGGATTTGTCTCGTCGATTAAAAAAAAAAAAAAAAAGCCGAGTGGGGTATCAATTTTCTACTTGAGAATTGAGATATCATCTTCACATAAATAACTGATGGGACTTAAATTTGAATGTGAAATTCAATAGCATAGCATTACTCTTGCAAATTTTTCTTACTATTTTAATTTTATTTACCAAAAAAGCCTTCCAACCTCATGTACCTAAAATAACCATTATACTTGAAAAAACAAACAAACAACTCAAAACCTTACTTCGTTTGGTATATTGGGTTGTTTTTGTTCTGAATGGGGGATTGGGTTTTGATTAGTGGGCGTGGGCTTTTCGGTTGCCTGGTAGGTATTTGAGGTTTTGTTGGTGTGGTTGGATTTCGGTGCAATTATGTTAGCTAATTGGCTTAGTTGGTGTTTTTCAGGGTCGGACTGTATATGATGAGTCAGATTTCCTATACGCCACCTGAATGACCTTGGCTTGTTTTGACAATCTTGTTAGTCAATTCATCCGCTCGATCATCGTGACCTTGTTTGGTTTTGGAGCTTCTTGACATTGTATCCTCTGCCTCCAATGGATGGTCAAAGCTTGGCCTCTAGGTGATGGTCTGAGTCCAGCTAGCTTAATGGCCTTTATTTTCTCTCATTTTGGACTGTTTTTCTCTTCCAATTGATTTGCATTCTATTGCTTATTGCGATATTTTAAGCTTTGTATTTTTCTCTTTTAGGCATCCTTTGGCCTATGTTGCATGTGATTTCTCATCTTTGGGAGAAATTTGAGAGTCGTAACTCAGGAAAAAGAAAACTATCCCAAATGAATTCTCAGTAGGCGGCCAATCAAGAAAGAAAGCAAGAAAATTAGAAGCTCAATTTGATGACACCAAGCAACCCCAAACTCAAATGTCCTAAGTAAGCCCTCTACCTAACCCTCTAATATGATGACACATGGAACATCATGGACCCTTTGTTACACACATGCCACCATCTCATCAGGCCATCCAACTTTTCTAAGGTCAATTAATTGGGGTACATAGCATTTCCCAATGGATATTGAAATACTTGTATCTGTTATTTAAGATACAGCTCAATTCAATTATTGGAAGTCTAAATGCCATGAATGGTTGAACCAAAAGCTGCATCTCAGTCATGCAATGATGGCACCCATCTAGGTGTTACTGGACATGCAGCAGCTTCTCTCAAATGCCCACTGTAGAGATAGAGAGAGAGATACTGTAGAGATAGAGAAAGAGAGAGGAAAAGAGAGCAAGTAGTGAGAGAAAGAAAGCTAAGTCTTAAGTCATTGTGGGACTGAGACCCACTGCTCTACAATCTACAACAAGTAAAGCATTAAACATCAAAACACTAAAATATTTCTACTTTCATATGCCCCTCCAAGAAGACCTATGTAAGCTAAGCTAGGCAACATTGGTCAAAGACCAAGGCATTGAAGACAATAAGTATAGATAGAGACCCAAGTACACTTTTTTATAACTCTCTCTCTCTCTCTCTCTCTCTCTCTTCATACATATATAAAATATATTAAAAGGATCATAATCACATAAATGAAGAGAGAAATCTACATAAATATTATATATATATTGATCATGTAGAAGTATGCAATATTCCATCACCTAAATACAAAATTGGCAGCCACTGCAGTCTCAAATATGACCTGCTGCAACCACCTAGCAGGCAATGGAAATGCCCATTCCCCCTTCCAAACCGCCAACAGCCAAATACCATAACATTTATGCCCATAATACCCCCATAACTGAGTTAGCAAGGGTATTCCGGGCATGACAATCTACAGTAATTTGATACCATTAAAGACAAATTAACATGCAAACACTAGTACCTAAACTAGCTTCATCAAGCTGATTCTCCCTTAACTATTTTAAGATAGGGGAGACCTATGAGGAGCCCCCTTCCTCCTGTTACTGAGAGAGAGCACTATTCCTGGAAAGAAACTTCGACCACCGCCGCCACCACCGCCCCCGGCCCCGCCACCACTCTTCTTTCTCTTCGCCGCATCGCTTCTTCCCGCGGCACCCCTACCACCATCAACGGCACTCGATCCCCCATTGCTCCCCTTGTACTGCAAGGGATCTTCCAAGATCGAATTCGGCGTGATCTGTCCACCGCCTACACCATCATCTTCGAGCAAATCGGACCCATCCATCCTCAGGCTCTCAAAATGAGCAAACGCAAACTCCGACTCATCGAATCGAATCAGTATGCTTGATAAGTCAGCCCCCTGCATCACCACATGCTCCACCTGTAACAAGTATTCAAAAATCATTCCCGGAACACCCCTTCAAATAATAATTACCAGCCTAAATGGGAACTAAATATAAGAGAGTAATTAATTGAACTAATTACCTTGCAGGTGAGGCAGCAGTAGTGAAAAGGCTCTTGGAGAATTCTATCACAGCTGAGGCAAATATTCCCTGAACCCTTGAAGGGCCTAGACTGAGGCCTTGGCTTCAAAAAGATTACCTTTGCACTATTTATTGTATAGGGCTAATCATAACATTAAAACCATATTAGATGCCTTAATCAAAACATTAAGACTTCATTTGGGACAGTTTTCTTACAGCTCTCTGAAGCAATTTTTTAATACAAAAATTAAAATTTTTGTAAAAAAAATTGCTTTAAGAAGTAATAAATAAGCTGTCCAGAAACAAAGCCTAATACTACTAATTAACAATCTAAATACTCTGAAACTAAAATAATTTTATAAAAAAAATATAATACCTGAACGAAGGAGCAGTCAATGAGCTTCTCAAGATCATCCAGCCTTACTACATCATTGTACACATATCGCCTCACCTAAATTTAATTTTACAAAAAAAAATTGCATAATTATTTAGTTCAGTTATACACTTATACTATGTGAATTATGAAAATTTTATACATAAAACCTATATTTTACACAATCGAAAATTTGAATAAAATCCTGCAAAAAGTTATTTCCAAATAACCCCCGGCAAGAGAATCTAACAAGTTTTGGAGTGATTAGGTAATAATTGTATCTGATTTAGTCATTTAGTATTTATTACCACAATTTTTTTGACCGGACTGATTCTCATCTGGATGGGGACAAAGGCCGTAGCGCTAAGACGTTTTTACCCCTCTGACGACGGGTACAGACATCGAGGAAAGGGAATTTACTAGAGGGCAGAGCGGTAATCCTGTACCTTTAGATAAGCTGTAAAGTGGAAATTTTTTTTAAAACATTTTTTGACCTCGAAAAAAGAGGGAAAACGGCGAGCCGACTTCATTTATGAATGGGAATGGCATCGACGCTTTGGAAAAAGCATTAAAAAGTCTAAAAACTTTTGCTAATATTACAATTTTTTTTGCATCGGGGTAGATTTGAAAATTTAAAAGTAATTACAAGGAAATAAAACGAAATAATTACGGAATTTCTCGATTAATTAATAATTTGAAAGATAAAAAGAAAAAAAAATTATATATAATCCCAAAAGAGAGACCAGAAAGCACCGGTAAGGGCGGTAAGCAAAAGATATTTCCATAAAAAGCAAAACAGGTCGGAAAACCCCTGCCACAAGAAGCAAGCATCGACATGAAAAAGGAATGATCTATTGCAGAGCCAATTTATTTTGTAAAAATTAAGGAAAATTTAAATTTATTTGCAAAAAAAAATCAAATATGTAAATTTCAAATTTTAAATTGCAAAATTAATTTCATTAAAGTGATGAGCAAATTCAAGAAGTGGAGGCCAGCAGGGAAACTATGTAGAAGATGAGCTGATGAGTGACTGTATATTATCGTATATATTATATAAATAATTTTTTTTTTAAATAATAAGTATAAAATTATTTAATAATAACAAAATAGTACTGTTATTGTTTTATTTTTCTTGTTTTATTAACTCTTTCTCTTTTATGGCAGGGGATTTGGTGCTGTGTTGTTTATGGCGGGAAGACAAGTCCCACTACTATTTGTGCTTTTTTCTGTGCTCTGTAAAGAAAAAAAATGAGTAATAAATATAGAAAATTTATTTCTGTGCTTTTTATTTATTTATTTATTTTTATAATTAATTATATATGTGTGATGAGTGTAAATATATTTATTGTTTCAAAAAAATATTTTTTATTTTTATTTTTATTTTTATTTTGGGTTAATGGTGGCTTTGTTTGTTTCTATGCTTCTCCCACTCGCACCCTTCACCTCCTCTGACTCTGTACACTGTGGCTTATAGCTTTTTTGGTTCTTTGTTTTATGTGGATCTATTTTTCCTTTTTTTTTTAATTTTTTTTTATTTATGTTTTTATAAACTAATCAAAACTCCATTGGATAAGAAGGTGGATTTTATTTTTTCTTATTATGTGCTCTGTATTTGCGGGGAAGTTATTATACATAAAAATATATATAGATAAAGTACAGCTGCGCGCATGCGTGTATTTTGTCTTTGTATTGCTATATATATTATTGTGTACAATTTTTTTTATGGGTTCAAAATGTATTATTGAGACATTAATAAAAATTAAAAAAAAATTATACTATTGTATTAGTGATGGTGTTAAGCTGGTTCGTGCTAGTCCGATAAGACATTCTTGAAATGAACTAGTCCAAATTGACTTCAACTCGAGTCAAAATCAAAATATCTTTCAAATATATTGGTTAATTTGTGACTCTAAATAGTAAATAAGGCTTTAGTTGACTCCAAGTCAATTTCAAAATGATTCAAAATTACAATTCTTATATTGGAGAATGTACTCGTGTCATTTGTATATTCTTTGCTATTTGTTTAATTAGAGTTGTAAATGAGTCAAGTTGAGCTCGAGCTTGATCTCGACTTGCCTAACTTTCAGCTAGCTCAAAATCAACCTGCATAATTTTCATTTGGCCAGAGTTCTACTTGAGCTCAAACTAGTAAGGCAAATCTATATTTTATTTGTGTTGTCACCAACAACAACGATAACAAAATTCTAGGGATCGTACAAGCAAAAGCTTGGAAAGAGAGCAAGAGGAAGAATAAGAATCAGGTGCAGGCATCCAACGATGAGCATGAAGAAGATTAACGTTGTAGCATTGAAGGAGATATAGAACAGTGGTGGCGAGTTTTGAACATTGCAGAGAAGAGAGGAAGAAGTGGCGTCGAGAAAAGAATCAATGAAGGCCTAACTGCATATCTAAAATTAAAATTTGTATACCCGCAAAACCTATTCTTAAATGCGGTGTACCTTAATCAAGCAGCTCAACGAGTTTACAAGTCTAAGTTCATCCCAACACAAACTCGTTCTCATTTCCTTAATGAGATCAAAACTCAACAAATTTGACTCTTGAGCTCGTTAACGAACCGTGCTCAATCAAACTAACGAGCCGACTTCAATTATTTGCACTTATACATCCAATAATCTAAATATTTGCTGAGTTATTTATTTATTTTTAATTTGCAAGCAGCATTGCTATATATTTTTGTTTTATCAAATCATTGGTGAATTATTGGTGAAGAAATGATGCCTGAAATTAGCTACATCAATTTATGAAACTTGATTGCTTTGATTGATATGACATATAATCCTAACATGGAGCAATAACTGGTCTCTTTCTGCTTATGGAAATCACATAATTGTTGCAGACATTGATTCCATTGTTTGAACATTCTCGAGAAAAGAAAGAGTGAAAGCTTAGCTAACACAGATAGATTGATCAACCAATTCAGCCCTCTTTTCTTTTCTTTTTTTTCTTTTCACACTGTGAATAGAAACAAAAGACAGAAAAATAATGAGATATGTATCATATAATATCCTAAAAGCATCATTATTAGAACAGTGAAACTCTTATCACCATCTATTTTTATATTCAAATTCATATATTAATGTAATTTATCTTTTAAAATTGAAAAAACTCTGTATAAAATGTGTAACTCTTTCTAAAAAATAATTTTTTTTTGTTGTAATTCAAATTTATATTATCAATCATTCCTATTTTCGAAAGATTTGATCTTTAATATTAATTTTTCGATTGATTTTGAATTGTAAATTTCAACTGAGACAGCTTTCTTAATGTTTTTTAGAACAATTTTTTTAGAAAGTATTAAGAAAGTGATCTCAAATAAAATCTCAGTCAAATTATATATATATATATATATGCTTCTATGTATTATATATTGCGTGAAGAGTTTTGCTACTCATGTGATGATGAGTTACCTAAATGATGATGATGATGGCATGCATATAATTGACATGTGAATGATATAGCTAGCTATATAATAAATATAATATAGTAAACAAGAATTCTTTCAGCATGGATGTCAATATCTTGCATTTATTTTATGGACATGCATGCATGTAACTGAGATGGTGTCTGGATATCCTTTGATTGACAACTTGAGCTAGTTGGTCACATCCTATCTAATTATGCAAACGTTTTGTTATTGAAGAATCTCCTCCAGGTCCTCTCTCTCTCTCTCTATCCCTCTCTCTCTCTATCTCTATCCCTCTCTCTCTCTTTCTATCTCTATCTATCTATCTCTCTCTATGACTATATCTCTATCTATCTGTATCTCTGTCTGTATCTTTATTATCTAAGTTATATATATGAGCTGCATGCCAAGGGTGGATGGGCCATGCATGGCTAAGGCTTTGTCAAGTAACATCGAGGACCAAAAGTGTGCTAAGGAAATGAATTGGCTCAGCCTCTCAATGGCTTATATTGAGCTTTGTGTAAGAAAGGAGTTTACCATGCAAATGGCAAAACCTGTACAATTTCAAAGCCAAGTGTTGTCATGATTTGGCTTTTGGTGAATGGGACTCTGCTATGATTTAAGTCTGGTAGTCCTAAATGATCGATCAGTTTTCAAGTTAGGTCCTAAATTTGACGTTTCTGTATGAGAGAGAAAGAGAGGAGAGAGAGTAGAGATAGAGAGAGAAAGAATGGAATTGTGAGGATTGTTAGTTTGTTACTGCAGATTAGTTTTCTGTTAATAAGAACAGAGGGAAAAGCAAATTCAAAGGACATCAAAGAGGTTTAGATTGCCAATTCTAATTCTTTTCTTTTGATGCTTATCATATAATTAATGCATCACCTAAAAACAGAAAATATTATATAATAATAATTTCATAAAAAATACATGTGAATATATATTGATTATCTGTTGAGAGGTCATGATGATCAATAATTAATCAAAGATACATTTTATGCTAAATTTTTAGTTTTCTAATATTTTAAATAAATAAAAATTTACTTTTTTTTGGGCAATTACAAATATAACATTCAAAGTTTAACTATTTACAAATCTAATCCTCTACCCTCACCAAAATATCTAAATTAAAAAACAAAATTCTAACACATGCACGTTTCTTCATTTTAGTCAAAAATACTGCAAAAATATGAATTTTGATAGTTAAAAAAATAACATGGATATCAATTTTGTAAATAATTAAAATCTATATAATTCCCCCTTAATAGACTAAACATTAATTAGAGAGAATTATTTTTTTTAAAAAAAAATTAAAATTGTATTTTCCAATGAATTAATTTGAACAAGAAAAATAAACTAATTGGCCCAAATAAAGCAATTCCTCCTCTGCATTTATCGAGAGATTATTAGGTGCGGAGTGCGGACAGGGAGAACCGTCCGCACAAGCATTATTCGGTGTTAGATACCGCTGTGTACCACTAGGTACTCAGTTCAGTGCAGACGATACGCACTCCGCACCTAATTATTTTTGGCATTTATCACGATAGTTTTACTTTTAAGAATCGAATCCCATTAAATATTTACTTTAAATGAAGCCTATAATTGGCAAGTTGGGTATGTGGACTTGGTATGGACTGGTCAAAGTTTCCTTCTCGCTACCAAATGCGATATTTGAACGGTTGGTCTCATCAAATCACATCACGGGAGACCAGACAGTGATAAGCTAAAAAATCATTTTGTCATAAACTAATAATAGTTATTATTATTTATATGAATTTCCTATTACTTTCTTTTTTTACTCTATACAATAAAAAATTTTAAAATTACTGAAAATATTTTTGGCATCTTTAAATTTTCATTTCTCTCTTTTAAATTGAGAAAAAAAATTTTCATTTGTTATGTATGAGACTTTGACTCAACAGCTTTTGACCCGAATCGAGACCGATTTCGGGTCACTTTATTTAACCCAAGCACAACCCGA